TGTAATGTCCGCAGTTAAGAAATTGATGAAGAACGCATTGGAAGCAAAGATTTTAACGAGGCCTTTCAAAGGTGAAGAATTGCCATGATTCCGACCATTTCACCATTTCAATTTAAAAGCTGGCAAATCCAAATTCGATGAGCATTCGGAATCACGATCAGTAATGCTCAAGGTCAACCTTTGGAAAAGTATGGTTTAGATTTAAATGCCGATTGCTTCACACATGGACAAATCTATGTTGCGTGTCGGCAAACCAGATAGCCTTGATATCTACGTAGAGAATACAAAAAACGAAAAATATTAGCTCTGATCCAGTACTCCATGAACTTACAGCTTTTTACACGAACTTGCTGATCCGTACTCCAAATTCCTCCAAAATCCTGTAAATGAGAGTGATTTTTGGCGAGTTGTGTAGATATTGCAAGATTTTACCCGAACTTTTTCTTCTGGTAAAATCATGAAAAGTGTCAAGCGATCAGTGGTTGACGTTTTTACCGGAAAATGCTTTTTTTTGTTCCCGTACTTTTTGTTGTTTCTCACTTTTTACGCTCACTTCAGAGAGTAATTTGTATTGGATCAAAGCTAAATATTGTGTATCTATACACAAGTTTTGCAAATTCAAACTTATCTGAAACGTATGCTTTGTTTCGGTTAATCATTTATCATCCATGCAACCGGAATATGCCACAGCAAAGCGTGGCAGGGTACAGCTATCTTTATCTTTACTAATATTATAAATCCGAAAGTGAGCTTGTTTGTTTACTACGCTTCACGCTTTAACTATTCAACCGATCATCATGAAATTTTGTACACTGCTGTCATTTGGCCCAACTTAAAATATAGAATACATTTAATCTCCATTAGACAACGGGGCGTGGCACCTCCCATGCAAACGGAATTTTTCATAGTGCATTTCACAGGAAATATTTTTGATAGATTACAGGAACTTGGTATGGAGATATAAAAAATCATTCTCTTCTCTTGGATGAGGGCTGCCACCTTTTAAAAAAATTAAATTCAACTTCAATTAAGGGATTTATTTATTTGAAAATTATATTAAAAAAATGGATATCAAGAGGCTTAAAAAACTGTATTTTGAATATATTTGGAAAAATGTTGCCACCTGTTTGAAAAGTCAAATTTAAATTAATTATACGCAAGCTATCTGAACAATCAAAATATGGTTGTCAAAAGAAATATTGTTAAGAAACCTTTAGTTTTAAAGTTTTGAATAATATTGAAGTCTTTCACAAGGGTTGCCACCTTTAAATGAAATATTATAATACTAGCTGATTTTTTATAGAAACTTTTCACCAACAATTCACGCTTACGATCGGCTAAGATTATGGTTTGGTGTCGTTTGCCGCCTTAAAAAATCTAACGAAAGTGTAATATCCGTGAAGAAGTTCTTTGAATTCTCTAATTGTGCAGCATTTCATAGAACGGTTAATCTCACAACGAAATAAATTTGAAGAACATTTCCTCTTCACTCCCTGGCGGCAACAATGATCCGGTTCTATAGTGAATCTGTCCCCAGAAACGCTGCGTATAATTGTTCTACAGAAATCCAATATACATAGACTTATTTCAGACGAAATACCGCAAAAAGTAAGTTCACGAAAGCAATTTAAGTGAAAATCATTTTTTTTACTTGAATTTATTATAGTAAAAGGTTCGCAATGTGTTTGGCGGTTGATTTATCGGTGGTGATTTGAAATTTACCCCTGTACAACGCAGCCCTAGTGTTTCCGAATGAAACTTTAAAGCATAGTAATACTGGCAAATCACATATGTACATTGGGCCAATCGTAACACACAAGAGTTCAATATACTCAATGGTGCAACAGGTCGATTTAATCTGACATTGACGGCACCTTTTCTAACTTGGCGATTATTCGTAATGACTCCAGCGCCACCTGGCAGCTCTTTTTGCAATAGTATTGCCTTTACCGTTACCAATACATATTTTAAATATTAGCCAAAGTACGGCGCCACGCCATCTTATCGAATAGCCCATTTTTCTCCATGGGATTGATTTCATATAAGTATCTTCACAACAAGTTCCAGTACTCTACCATGAACATTTCCAGAAATATTCGGTATGAAAAATTCGGGTTGTATGGGAGGTGCCATGCCCCCTTTATATATCGAAATCATTTTGAAAGGGCTTCATTTCAAAACTACATGTAAGTGGTTTCCATCGGTTGAAATCTCAAATTGAGTTCAGGGGATAAGTTAATTGATATGGTTAAACAAATTTTAAACATCCTGTTTTTGAATTGAGTTTACTTGAAATAAATTTTACTCAATGTAGCATGTAAAAATTTCATACACTCCGCGAAGCGGGTGAGGGCGATCTAGTAATATATAAAAATCCTGTGTTACTGAAACATGAAAACTGTGTTTATTGGAAAAGGGGGCGTGGCACCTCCCATCCAAACCGAATTTTTCGTACTGAATATCTCTGGAAGTGTTCATGGTAGAGTACTCGAACATGGTATGGAAATATATGAAAACAATCGCATACTCATGTAGAAAAATTGCGGTTATTGGAAAAGGGGTGTGGCACCACCCATACAAACCGAATTTTTCACACTGCATATCTCTGGAAGTATTCATGAAAGAGCAATGGAACTTGGTATGGAGATATATAAAATCAATCACATAGTCATGAAGAAAAATTGGGGCTATTGGAAAAAGGGGCGCGGCACCTCTCATACAAACCGGCCTTTTCACACTGCATATCTCTGGAAGTGTTCATGGTAGAGTACTAGAACTTGGTATGTACAAGATATACAAAATCAGTCGCATAGTCATGAAGAAAAATTTGGGCTATTGTAAAAAGGGGCGTGGCACTTCCCATACAAACCGAATTTTTCATGCTGCATATCTCTGGAAGTGTTCATGGTAGAGTACTACATGGTATGGATATATATGAAATCAATCCCATACCCATAGAGAAAATTGGGGCTATGTGAAAAGGGGGAGTGACGCCTTTCAAACGCACTGAAACTATTACGTATCTTTGTATGCATACACACTTTTGCTAGGTTATTTAAAATAATAGGCAATGGAAATATGCCTTCTGACAACCACCAAACCGTAAGATTAGAAGATAAATACATCACTGAAAATCATGAACGTGAACTGTTGGTAAAAATGTTGGACCAAAATGTTTCAAAACAAAAAATTTATTTTGGGCGAGACGAAGTTCGCCGGATCTGCTAGTTTTAAAGTAAAAATACTTCATCCACGCGTTTTTGCCTTCGACGCCTCTCCTCTATTTTACAAAAATAATCAATAAATCAGGGACGGATAAGTTTTCTTTTTAATACAAGATTTTTTAAAACTTGGATTTCAGAGCAGAAATTTTGTATTCTTAATTACGAATTGGATAGTTTTCTCGTAAGGCAGATAATCTGATCATAAGCCTGTCGCTAAACAAAAAAACCTGATATAACAACAATGCGAAATTTATTAAGGGCAGCAGTCTACCGGATATACGAATCCGGCTCTTATTTTTTACATGGTATCCGGAATCCGGTTATCCGACAAATCTCTATCCGGCTAGGGATGCAAACGATGTATCGATATTTTTGAAACATCGATAATATCGGTTCAAAATTCGATATGTTCCATCGATGTTTACAATTGCCTAAAATCGCTTAGTTCACGACACATCGATGCCAGTTTCAACGATGTTTTAACATGGACTTTAGTGTGACTCAGACTTGAATTCAGCTCACCCATTATGCTCCTAAACTTTTTTGACTGGCCATGAATTTTTATTCCGAGTTTACTCATATCTTTCGATATTAAAACTGCTTACTTAATCATTAAAAAAGAGCCGGGTTCCCGTTGAAATTTCAACGAAGTTGGGCCTTGGAACTTTAGTCTCTTTAGTCTTATTTATAGAAAGAGTAGAAGAATCCTTACTAATATTATAAATCCGAAAGTGAGTTTGTTTGTTTGCTACGCTTTCACGCTTTAACTACTCAACCGATCATCATGAAATTTTGTACATTGCTGTCATTTAGCCCAACTAAAAATATAGGATAAATTTAATCTCAATTAGACAAGGGAGCGTGGCACCTCCCATGCAAACGGAATTTTTCATACTGCATTTCTCAGGTAATATTTTTGATAGATTTCTGAAACTTGGTATGGAGATATATAAAATCAATCACCCCTATTCTGGTTGTCGTAAGTCGGTCGCATCGACAGTCGTTTTTTGCGACGTGTCGTTTTTAAAAAGGCATTCCTGCAACATATCGACTGTTCTACTACAATTGTAATAGATGAAACAAATTTTGACAGCTGACAGAAACATCTGTTTTGTTTATAATTCGTTATTTGTATTTACGTTTAATTTAAAAGAAGTTGTACTTAATGAAATGGATACCATAGAGCTATATTTTAGCTCGGATGAAGAAATTCAAAGCGAAGAAAATATAAAATTAATTAAAGAACGGCAAATTCTTCGCCAAAGAGCAAATCCATTTGAACTTTCTGACGTGGTGTAAGACACGAAAAATGTTTTATTTATTTGATAATTTTAACAAAATAGTTCACATCTTGCAGATTCGTTAGAAATTTTCGGTTAACGAAAGACGCGTTTAGGTATGTACTTGAAGAGCTCGAAAAGAATCTTCCAAGGAGGAAACGCTCCACGGGCTTATGCCCAACAGTTAAGTTGGCAACCACTTTGCGGATTCTGGCGGAAAACGGGTACCAACGTGGAGTTGGAAATGACTTTCAGTTGGGTTTGGCACAACCAACTGTCTCGAAAGTATTCAAAGAAGTGCTTAGTATTCTGCAAAATATTTTGTGTTCAAAATGGATCAAATTTCATATGACACAGGAAGAAAAACTACAAGCTAAGCACTCTTTTTATTCGAAAACTCGATTTCCTGGAGTCATTGGTTGCGTCGATGGAAGTCACATTGCGATACTTCCGCCAAAGCTTAATAAACATGTTTATTATAACCGCAAAGGTTTTTATAGCATAAACGCTATGGTAGTAAGTGCAATATAACTGCATGACCTTATGATCATTGAATTAACTACATATTCATTCAATTCAGATTTGTGACCACAAAATGCGAATACGGTTTATTGATGCTAGGTATCCAGGTGCTAGTCATGATGCGCATATATGGGGTATCAGTGAAGCGAAGGCCATAATGCAGCGAAGTTATTTAAGTGGCAAACGAAATACTTGGCTTTTGGGTACAAATTTGATAAGAGATGTGAAATTATTTTTACAACTTGCATTTTTTAGGCGACGCTGGATATGCATTGGAACCGTACCTAATGACCCCATTTCGAGCTTCAACGAACAATACTCCAAAGAGCAACTACAACTCAGTGCACGCTAAAGCAAGGAATATAGTGGAACGAACATTCGGAGTACTGAAAAATCGGTTCCGTTGCCTATTAAGTGCTCTTCAATTGCACTACGACCCCCATAAGGCAACTGTCATTGCAAATGTATGTGCAGCTTTGCATAACATTTGCATAGAATACGGCGCACCAAATCTTATAATGGAGTCTCCTCCTTCAGACCCACTACCAAATTTGAATGAAAGTGAAGTAGACAATGAAAATGAAAATCAATTGGCTGCAGGTATTCGAATGCAAATTATGAATTCACTTAACCAATGACGTAGCGAAGGCTTAAGTTCTCCTAATTTTACTAAACTAGTCAGCTTTAAAAATGTGAATAAAACTAAAATGGCTTTGTTTATGTGCGCATTTTTTTACATATTGCAGAGCTAACGTACATGTTTAAAGTAAAAACACATGCACTTGTGATTAGCAAATTAAGTCCTCAACGTTTTGATCAATTTTGACGATTTTTAAAAGTCTAGCTGATTATGTAAAAAATTATAAAAAATCTGCAACGTTTCAGCTTAATTTTTAAATTTTTTCAGACTTTTTGAATTTTTTCGAGTATGCAGTTTAACAGCTCATTACATTCTAGGGCAATAGTGCGCAAGTTTTAAGTTGCTAAAGAATCGCGTTGATTTTTTTTTCCGACTGCGTGACGCATTTTTTTCCATACAAAAAAAATTGTCCAATATATTTTGTATGGAAAAAATTCTTTAGCAACTTAAAACTTGCACTTTATTACCCTGGAATTTAATGGGTTATTAAACTGCATACTCAAACAAATTCTAAAAAATCTTACTAAAAAGCTAAACCTTTGCAGATTTTTTATAATTTTTGAACAAAGTTTTAAATTTGGTTTATGTGGTATTTGGTTTATAATTAGCTAGCTTTTATGGAAAAATAATAAACATTAAATGAACAACAGAAAAATTGCCAAAATTGGTCAAAATGTTATGACTTAATTAGCTGATCACAAGTGTAAACACATATGTATATTTCTAGATACATATTATGAAAAGGAGGACCTTAAACCCATTCTTATTTCATCAATTTCTATTTTCTTTTTTTTATATTAATTTCCATCTCCCTCAATTCGTTTGCTTTTTTTATACTATCCTGTTTCATTTTCAACTCAGACTTATACAATTGCAACTTTTCCTTTTTCAACTCGTACATTTTCCGGGTGTATCGCTCGGTATTTTCTAAGTGCTTTTCAATTTTCCTCATTTTTCTTTTTTGTATTTCTTCATAAAAGTTTTGTTGAATATCAATTTACTTATTTAACAAAGCTCCTTTCTGAATCCTAGTTTTTTTAGCTACTGGTTCAATGTTTTCTTGCTCAACATCTTCCTCCGAAACGATCTCATCTGTTTCATTTAGTTCCTCGGAAATTTGGCTATTGTTCGTTTTTTCTGCACCACCAAATGACGCTCCAGGTGGATTTACCATACTTTCGAAGCACATTAAATTTGCCACTGCGCTTTCCATACTCGAAAGACTTTTTTGATTGTTTATTCCGCCACCAGTTGCACGACTTTCTTTTTTGTTGAAAACTACTTTCTTCTTTACTTTAAATTTAAAGTCACCCCAGACCTACAAAGATACATATAAACACTTATATATTACGCACAAAGTATTTGTAGGAAATACCAAATTTCTGATTCACCCACCTTTAGCCAGCCTTCCCCATCTCGAACGGGTGGTCCCATTGCATTTTTCAGCTATAGTGTCCCATTCCTTTCTAGCATCCAACTTCGCGACGCCTTTATGGAATCCCCTGGCCAATTGCGGTTTTTTTCCATTTCCTGCACCAACAGGGCGAACTGATTTTGGGTTGTGACTTTTAACTAAAACAAAGAATTTCGAACGTCAAAATACATATATTTGCGCATGTACAGCTAAAGAAATTTTACTACTTACCATTTTTTGTTATTTCACAAGAACAAATTTGTCAGCTAAATTAATTTTATTTTCTGTCGTGCCAAAAATTCAAACGAGAAAATTTGACGTTATTTGAGTCGTATGAGTCGAAACGTCAGGAATGCCATTTTTTTTTTTCGTCAAACGACTGTCGTTACGACAATCGGAATAGAGGTGATTATCTACTCATGGATGAGGGCTGTCACCTTTTAAGAAAATCAAATTCAACTTCAATTACGGGAGTTATTTATTTGAAAATTATATTAAAAATGCATGTCAAGAGGCATAAAAAAGCTGTAGTTTGAAAATCCGTCCGGGCATTTAGGAGGATTTCACTCAAAAACCCACCTACAGAAGAATTATATATTTATTTTTGCACGGCGCCATGCCCTCTTTTCAAATAGCCCATTTTTCTCCATGAGTATAAGATTGATTTCATATATCGCCGTACCCAGTTCCGGCATTCTACCATAAATACTTTCAGAGATATGCAGTATGAAAGAGGTGCCGCGCTCCTTTTTCCAATAGCTCCAATTTTTTCCAAGATTATGCGATTGATATCACATATGTATCTCCATACCAAGTTCCAGTACTCTACCATGAACACTTGCAGAGATATTCAGTATGAAAAATTCAGTACGTATGGGAGGTGCTACGCTTCCTTTTCCAATAACCCCAATTTCTCTCCATGAGTATGCGTTTGCTTTCATATATCTCCACACCAAGTTCCAGTATTCTACCATGAAAACTTCCAGAGATATGCAGTATGAAAAAATCGGTTTATATGGGAGGTGCCACGCCCCCTTTATATATCGAAATTTTATTTACCCTATTTACTATCTTTGGGACGTCTGAAGCAGGTGTCCGGAATTTCAAAAATATCGATTCGGCCGTTCTCGAGCTTTGCGAACACATAAAAAACGGCTTTCAAAATATATATTAGTATATAAGATTGGTATGAATCGAAATGGTTTTGAATATGTATCACAATATGAGTGCCAGACGAAAGAGGTTTAAAAAGGTTGCTAACTGTTCAAAAGGTTAAGTTCAAACCATTCAATAATTTAAATGAATTATTACAATATGGGCGTCAATCGAAATGGTTTTTAAAGGGCTTCATTTCAAAACTACGTGTAAGGGGTTTCCAAACCGCTCAAATTGAGTTCAGGGGATAAGTTAGTTGAAAAAGTATGACAATTGAGAACTTTAAGAAAGTTTTAGTTTGAAAACATTTGGAGATGGTTAAACAAATTTTAAACCTTCTGTATTTGAATTGAGTTTTCTTGAAATAAATTTTACTCAATGTAGTACGTAGAAATTACATACACTCAGCGAAGCGGGTGAGAGCGATCTAGTGGTAAATAAATACAGGGAAATACATCCATATGTAAGTATTTTTCTAACTGATTTACAGAGAGTTGTAATTGAAAGGTTTTAAATTTTCCCTTTAATGCGAATACAACCCAACAAATTGTGAAACATCGGAAACCATCGATATATCGATATTTTCCTGGCGATGTATTTTAGCATCGATGTTAATTTTTCCGATGCATCGAAACATCGATGTATCGATGTTACCCTCCAAAATTTGTATCGCTATATCCGGCACAGTTCAAATTTTTGTAAAGTTGCTTACCACACTTAAGATTGCTATAAATTTTGCTTCCAGTTTTTTAAGATTTACAAACTTGGTGTCTCAAACTAAAAACAAAAGCACCAAAAACGCACCAAGCACAAAACTCAAAATCATCACGTTTCGAATACCCACTTAATTTGGTGCGAAGAGCACCAAGTTGGCAAAAGTGAATGTAAACAAAAGTATTGTGTGACGTCAGACTGTGACTGTCAAATTGACGAAGAGAGCGTTAGCGGTCCGCGAATGGGGCCACCTTCATTTTCTGCATCGTGACCTAACGGGGCTTATATTCCTATTGTAAGCATTGGTATAGAAAAAATTGCAACTGAATTCGAATTGCCATCATAACACTAGCTTATTTAATTTTGCCTGTTTATCTCCTTCCACATTGCTTATAAGATTTTCATTTTATCCTTTTACTTATCGTAACTTTTGCACTTTTTTTATAGAATTGCAGTCTTTGATTTTAATCTCTAGATTTAAAGTTTTCCTTTAGCAATTTTTATCTGCAATAGCAAGGTCGAGAAATATAAAAACTGATTTCGAAACTTGGAAAAAACAAAAATCTCTCTAATATGAAGATTTTGGCACTGAACCGATTCTGGTCAATAACTAAATATTTATTTTTTCTCATTCTTAAGAAAAACGTCAAAAAATTCCAAGTAGTAACGTCAATGTGGTCGTTTTAGATTGTTAGAGAATTGAATGAACTTTAACACTGCATCCACGAAGAAAACGTCTGGACAATCTAATAGATGCACCACACAGTTAAAGTTGAAAATATGTTGAGCTTATTCTGCTGATTGGCAGTGCTTATATTTAATTGACTTAAAATTAAGTTTTTTCAAACAATCCTTAAAGTACCCGCACTACTTCGTTTATAAATGTCCAGATTATACAACATAAAACTATCGCAAACGCCAATTCTTTGATAACTTTCCTCTCAGCATGTTCAAGAAAAATATAGCCGAAATAAGCGACATTCTACCATTAGACAATCGGATATGCAAAAAATAGATTGTCCTATTAGAAAGCTAACATTCAATAATGTTGTTGTCCAATTAAATCCAAATAAAGTTTTACTCTGTTTAAGGGAGAATTAAAAAAATCCTCTTCTGTAAAATTTACCTTTTGTCACTTACGATAATAACAGAATTTTTTTAAATTATTACAGAGAATTTATCTTGATAAAGTTATGTTCCAGCATTATAAAGTAGTTTACAAAACATTCGAAAAATTGGCCTATTAAAAATATTACCAATATGTATTTGGAAAATATTTAAACAACGAAATATACAAATAAAACATATTTTGGACAATGTTTTACGTTTTGGTACCCTTGTGCTGCTTTCTGTTACAAGGCCTTGTTTATTGATTCTCAATGAATATCGGGTTAAGCGGATGACGTACGTTTGGCTGAACCTGGTCTTTTGGATATGGCTTCTGATCCCATGGCAGTTATAAGTAAAAAAACCTTCGAACTTCTTTAATTTTTGTCTAAACAAAGTAGGCAGCATAATATATTGGAAAAAATATATATTTCACTTGCTAACATATACATATGTATGTACAGCTTCAACTGTGAAATGTGTGTTGTCTAACTGTATGTTGTCAATCTACATCCAATCAGAACCCTCTAAGTTTATTGAAATGAAATGAAGTAGGTAGTTGTAGGTTGGATAAATAAAGATGGTGATATATTTCATCTAAATTCTATACGTCACCTTCTTGGTATTTTCTGTAGTTTAATATCATCAACACGTTCGTAATTTTATATTGATATTATAATAACTGATTAATAAAAATTTATTGGTATTTAGAAATAGCATGGGAGTGCTTTCATTTCATTATTTAACAAAATTTTCTACTTTATTTTTTATTCATCCATTTATTTTTTGTCAGAAATATGCGTTTTTGACATGTTTTTCACCTTAACATTTACTAGTTACACATTAAATTTCATTTTAATTTATTTCAGCTTTAATTTATTTCTACTAAGTGTTTAGTCGATTAGTTATTTAACAGTTTGTTCTATTTTTTCCGTTTGCATATAATACAGCATTATTAATGGTGCAGCATTCACAGATATTCTGGTTTTGTTTTTTTACTCTTCAATTTTCATGAAGTTTAAGTCAACTATCATAAATACTTAAAACAAATTAAAACATATTTTTACACATTTAGAATTTTATTCTGTTTTTTTTTATTTCATTTTATATCAACAATTAAGTTTTCAAAAAGCTAGAGGTAACGTAAAACTTAAATTATAATTTCTTTTAATATAATATTATCACTATATTTTAATTCTATCATTTCATAATTTCTAATAAATTTTCTGTATCTCTTTTGCAACATTATTTTTTTCATTGAATATTTTAAATAGTTTTAATTTTTTTACCAAAAATATTTTTCTAATTTGTAAGGATTTGTATTGGGGTTTTAGCTTTTTAAATTTCTTTTTAATAGTACAATAACATTGTTAAAACTATCATATATTTCTTAAAAAAATATAAATATGAAAATAAAACATGAGAGTTTTCAGATTAGACATCCGCTGTTGCAATAGATTATAGGTACTGTTTGGAACTGCACGGAGTTTACTTATCTTATGTTTGTCCCTGCAAGCAATATATGACAACAAACAAACTTGACAACTGGCGAAACATTTCTAATTTTCCTTTTTGATTAATTGTTATCATAATTTTTAACACTCACGTTTTATAATTACGGAAAGATATACTAAAAACAAGCATATAACAAAATGATAATATAAGGAAACATATTATTTCAAGTCCCACACAGTACTAGTTCAATAAAGAATGATTGTTGTCAAAAGTATCCTTTGCAAATTGTTTAAAACATCATCTAATCAATGTAACATTCATAGTAGTAAGTAGTTCTCTGTTGTTTCAGTTGTTTTGTTAACTACAACGTAAAATAAGAATCATTTTAATAAGTATGCATTCTTAATAAAATATATCTAAATATCTTAATATTTTTGTTTTTTGTTGATGTTTCTCGCTTTTATTGGTTAAACTTGCTTTCAATTTATAACTTTCCGTGATTTTGTTTAATTACATTTCATACCGCCATTTTTATTTTAGACTGTTTGCAGGGATTTGAATATTATTATCGGCAGTGATAGACGATGTGTCGGACGATTTCTTCATTTTGTCGCAATAGTCATTAAAAATGTCACGAAAGCGTAGCCAACATTTTTCTGGCACAGTAATAGCAGTACGAAAATTGCTTTTCACCTTAAATCAAATCAAGAAATAAAAAAAAAAACGTGAATGGAGATGCTTACGTTACTTTTACAATTGATATTACCTCACTAATGCGCATGTAAACCCCGCGATTATTTTGTCCAATATCGAAATAAAAATTTTTATTGTCCACTTTCATGTGGCGCTCTTCGGGCAGATCACCTTTAAATCTATTGAAAACAAGCAAACAAGAAATTTATACATACATGTTAGTAAATTCAACTAAAACATTATAAAAACATGAAAATTAACTAGATATTTAAAGAGTCATAACGAGTCTCTGTACTCCGACGACAAAATTTCAAAGATTTATGGCCTTATTTATAAAAAATAAAGTAAAGCTTTATAAATTGACGTTTTCATACATTTTTCAATTTATAAGCCTTTTATAAAGCTACTTTATTTTTTATGAATAAGGCCATTAGAGTTTAGTGTTTAATGTATTTTGAACGTATCTTTTTTCAAAATCTACCAATGTAAAGTAAGATATTTAGAATACATACATATCTGAACGTCGTGACGCCTTCGTGAAAAATATTCCTTTTAAAAAACTAGAAGTGGTTGGTAAACTACGAAGTTTTCGCGTTCACACAAGGATTTAAGAAAAACAAGAACCCTTTGAAAATTTCTCCCATGCGATTTAATAATTTTACATATTCGGATCAATTGTTTTCCTGATATCAATGAATCCGAATAGCTACGATCGTATCCATTGTAATGAGTTCCCGTACAGACTTTCTTCGTAGGAACAGAGTTTAAAATTGATAATTCTAAAAAACTATGCATGAAATTATTGTAATGGTAAATATTGGTTAGAGTTGCGGATTTATTACACTTTGATATAAAGATTTATATTATCCCCCTATTATGAATTTCCATACGAAAGACAATAAACGCTTGCAAGCGTATCGTATGAAATCAGTTTTCGTATTACAACACTGTACAGCATTCGGCTGGGTATTGGACCAAACCAACTTTTTTTAAGAGATTAAGCCATAAGTAAAAAAAGTAAGTTCTCCGTTTTGCTTTTCGAAGTTAACATCCGAAATCGAGATATGGGCCTTCGAAGTTCGAAATTGGACCTTTGGTAAAAATTATTTTTAATTATTGCATGTAAAAATAAAAAAAAAAAAGTAAAAATACCGACGTGGTCCGCCTTTTTCTCTTATTTATATGGTATACAACGTTTTTTGTGCAAACTTATGTAACAGGTGTTATAACGGGTCAAAGGACCGATCTTCGAAAAATTAAAAACTTAATATTTCAGAAAATTTTGGACTGATTTTTAAAAGATTCGTATTGTTGTAAAGATGATTTAACCCCCTTTCTTGTGATATGCATATTTGTATACTTCGTATATGAAAAAAAAACACATTTAATGGAAAATATACATTTTTTTGTATAAAAAAAAATATTTTGAACAAAAAAATTACTAACCGATTTTTTAAAATTGGTATCTTTGTAAAGGCGATAAAACCCCCTTTCTTCTGATATGCATATTTGCATAGCTCGTGAATAAAAATTTGAGAATAAACAATTAAAAGGAAAAAATAACTTGTTTTTTACAAAAAAAAAAATATTTTAAACAAAAAAATTACTTACCGATTTTTAAAAAATTGGCATCGTGATTAAGGCGATTAAACCCCCTTTCGTCTAATAAGCATATTTGTATACTTTGTATATAAAAATTGGAGAAAAATCATTAAAAGAAAAAAATAAAAATTTATTCATATAAAAAAAATTCAACAAAAAATTACTAATTAGTAATACAATTGAATACCGTGCTTAAATAAAACAAATCATTTATGGTGTTTTAAGTGTTAATTCGTTCTTGTTCGCCCGCAGCCCTGTTAAAAATAAAGCAAAATTATATGTAACAGAAGTCTAAGGCATATAAAGATATAAAAACACTATGGTTTTTGATTTTTTACATAATTAAAGATAATTTCCTGTTTTGTTTAAATAAATAATCAATTGTATTACTAATTAGTAATTTTTTTCATTAAAATACAATCGCCGTTCGGAGTCGGCGTAAAACTGTAGGTCCCTCCTATTTGTGTGACAACATCAAGGCGCACGCCACGAATCGGAGGAGAAGGNATTGTTGTAAAGATGATTTAACCCCCTTTCTTGTGATATGCATATTTGTATACTTCGTATATGAAAAAAAAACACATTTAATGGAAAATATACATTTTTTTGTATAAAAAAAAATATTTTGAACAAAAAAATTACTAACCGATTTTTTAAAATTGGTATCTTTGTAAAGGCGATAAAACCCCCTTTCTTCTGATATGCATATTTGCATAGCTCGTGAATAAAAATTTGAGAATAAACAATTAAAAGGAAAAAATAACTTGTTTTTTACAAAAAAAAAAATATTTTAAACAAAAAAATTACTTACCGATTTTTAAAAAATTGGCATCGTGATTAAGGCGATTAAACCCCCTTTCGTCTAATAAGCATATTTGTATACTTTGTATATAAAAATTGGAGAAAAATCATTAAAAGAAAAAAATAAAAATTTATTCATATAAAAAAAATTCAACAAAAAATTACTAATTAGTAATACAATTGAATACCGTGCTTAAATAAAACAAATCATTTATGGTGTTTTAAGTGTTAATTCGTTCTTGTTCGCCCGCAGCCCTGTTAAAAATAAAGCAAAATTATATGTAACAGAAGTCTAAGGCATATAAAGATATAAAAACACTATGGTTTTTGATTTTTTACATAATTAAAGATAATTTCCTGTTTTGTTTAAATAAATAATCAATTGTATTACTAATTAGTAATTTTTTTCATTAAAATACAATCGCCGTTCGGAGTCGGCGTAAAACTGTAGGTCCCTCCTATTTGTGTGACAACATCAAGGCGCACGCCACGAATCGGAGGAGAAGGTAGGCCAAACACTAACATATGTGTAAGCGCCAATCTATTATTATTATTACTTCCAAAAGTCCTATTGGCTTATTGCTTCACACACAACCTTATTATTTTTCTGACTAGAACTTTTTAACAAGTAGTGTGTTCTTAATTTATGTAAATGTAACAAAACTTTTCAGTTGCGTTTGCTGTGCACTGACCATTGGAAATATTTACTACTGCCGAAAAATAAACCGAAAATACTGCTGCAGTACTGTACCGGGTTTCTTTACATGTACAGGGTGTTCTGTAAAAGTGTTCAATGAGTAAAGGGGGATGGTAGGAAAGTCAAGACGCCCTACAACGTTAAAAGGGGGAGGCTGGGACGGTGAGGGAAGAGGGGTTCAATATAAAAATTTGGAGAGTTGCAGGGAGAAAATAGTTGTCAGTACATTTAGAAAAAAATTCTCTACTTAAGGGTAAGTTCTAGTAAAAATTTGCAAATAAGTTTTTAAGGCAGTAAAATTGTACGACTTTTTTTCTCAAACTACATATATGTATGGATCTCATTACTTTAAACAATCAATTGTTGTAAAGATGTATGTATATATATCCAAAGGTTTCTAGAAAACGACTCTAACGGTTGTGATGGAATTTTGTATTCAGATAATGTTTTAAATTTTGAGGGTATCTGGAGATATTTGTACAAAGCTGCCACGCATTCGAAATTATTTATAATTATTAATTCTAAGAAGGCACAAAAGATTCACTAAAAAATTAAAGCTTTTTTTTCTTACAGCTTATTAAGCCTTCTTCTTCTTCTTTTTTGGCACTGTAACCGCCTAAGCGATTTTGGCCGAGTTCAGCAAAGCACGCCAGTCGTCTCTCCTCTGTGCCAACTGACGCCAATTGGAAACGCCAAGTCCTTCTCCACCTGATCTTTCCATCGCAGTGGGGGCCTCCCTCTTCCTCTGCTACCACCAGCGGGTTCCGAGTTGAATACTTTCAGAGCTGGAGCGTCGGTGTCCATTCGAACGACATGACCAAGCCAGCGGAGCCGCTGTATTTTAATTCGCTGCACTATGTCCATATCGTTGTAAAGCTCATACAGCTCATCGTTCCATCGTCTGCGGTACTCGCCGTCGCCAACGCGTAAAGGCCCGTAAATCTTCCGCAAAATCTTTCTCTCAAACACTCCAAGAGCCGCCTCATCGGATGTTGTCATTGTCCATGCTTCTGCGCCATATACCAGCACGGGCATGATGAGTGACTTATAGAGCGTGGTTTTCGTACGTCGAGAGAGGACTTTACTCCTGAATTGCCTACTCAGTCCAAAGTAGCACTTGTTGGCAAGAGTGATTCTACGTTGGATTTCAATGCTGACATTATTATCGGTGTTAATGCTGGTTCCCAAGTAAACGAAATTCTCTACTTTCTCGAAATTGTAACTGTCAACAGTGACGTGGGTGCCAAGGCGCGAATGTGCTGACTGTTTGTTTGATGACAGGAGATACTTCGTCTTGTCCTCGTTTACCACCAGACCCATGCGCTTTGCTTCCCTATCCAACTTGGAAAAGGCAGAACAGACTTCGCGGTTTTTGTTACCGATGATGTCGATGTCATCGGCATAAGCCAGCAATTGCACGCTCTTGTAGTAAATTGTTCCTGAGCGGTTCAGTTCTGCAGCTCTTATTATCTTCTCCAACATCAGATTAAAGAAGTCACATGAAAGGGAGTCGCCCTGTCTGAAACCCCGTTTTGTGGCGAACGGCTCGGAGAGGTCTTTTCCAATTCTGACGGAGCTGGTGGTATTGCTCAACGTCATTTTACACAGCCGTATGAGTTTTGAGGGGATGCCAAATTCAGACATAGCGGCGTATAGGCAACTCCTTTTAGTGCTGTCAAAAGCGGCTTTAAAGTCGACAAATAGGTGGTGAGTGTCGATCCTTTTCTCGCGGGTCTTTTCCAAGATTTGGCGTATTGTGAATACCTGGTCTATGGTGGATTTGCCAGGTCTAAAGCCACACTGATAAGGCCCAATCAGTTCATTGACGGTGGGCTTCAGTCTTTCACACAATACGCTCGATAAGACCTTGTAACCTATGCTTAGAAGGCTGATCCCGCGGTAGTTGGCGCGAATGGCGGGGTCACCTTTCTTGTGGATTGGGCAGAGCACACTTAAATTCCAGTCGTCGGGCATGCGTTCATCTGACCATATTCTGCACAAGAGTTGATGCATGCACCTTATCAACTCCTCGCCGCCGTACTTGAATAGCTCAGCTGGCAGGCTGTCAGCTCCAGCGGC